TATCAAGCTTATGCTATAACGGACAGGGTTCCTCCTTTCCCTGTTAAGGCACAGTTTACTGGCTCTGTTAGTGTTTTATGGACTTTTTAGCATCAAGTATCTGTTTCTCAGATTTGCTAGAGTGCCTACTGGGCTGCTATTCACATGGTGATTGGGTTCTACAAGATTGATATTCAGGCCTCTTCTAATGTCAGTTTCAGGCGTAAGCTGCTACAAGCTGCTTCCTAAGATTGTCAAGCCTTTCTTGACTTATTTCTGGGACTGTTGGCCTTGTTTACGGGATTTCCACCCCTCATTTTGACTGCTTTTGAATGTCTCTTGGTAAAGACTAAAATTCCTGGGTCACATAGTGTATGCCTAAGGGAATAGGATTTTTGACTTGCCAGCAAAATCCATTTCTTGGAGTTAAGTACAGGATGCATGTCCCTCCCCTTACCCCTATGCTCTCCCTTTTTATTGCTACAAAACTGAGGCTAGCAGGGAATGAGAGGGGTTATATAGGAGGGAAGTCTTGCAGCATTTTCTTTTTTACCAGTGTCCAAACACCTGAAGATAGTTGCATATAACCCATGGTAAAGATTAAAGTTCCTGTGCCCCATACTGTACTTTGAGATACAAATTCTACTGATAATTTGCACTAGATAATTAATCTTTCAATTCATGATATTTCATTCTTCAGGGTGTCACGGAGGTAATTGACTCTTTGCTTTACTGAGTACATGTAGGCCCTAAGGAGGGCCGAGGTGTAGGATCTAAGGAACCACCAACTGTTCACCAGAGAACCCTGCAGACGGCTCACAGGTTGCAGCCCTTTGTTATGTTCACAGTAGGCAGAAATAAAACTTGGTACAAAATCACCAGCAAATGTTGTGGTCAAACAGGCAAAAGATCATGCCAGGCAGAGAACAATGATTGTCGAGAATCAGACAAAAGATTGGGACAGGTGGATAACAAGCATCATTGAGGAACAGGCAGAGGCCATACATTGGTATCAACACTTGAACAGTGATCATGGGTACAGAAGACTGGGAACAGATACTAACAGAGGCCTTTGGTGAGGCACTGAGCCTGCACTGAACAGGTTCAAGCAGCAGTCCTTAACTTGACCGCAGAGCAGTCTCCAGCAATTAAGAAAAAGAGAAATAAGCGCTAAAGAAGCAAGTATTGCTCAAGACCAAGTAGAGAAATAACCATAAAAAGTCCATAGTAAGTCCATCAAAAGTCCATTCTTATTAAAATATATAGACACCAGCGGCAGCATCCTCCAGGGTAAAGCTGAAGCTCTAGTTGCTGTATATAAAGAAGACATAGAGAGGTCTCTCTGTGTCTTTACTTGCAGTCTCCAGCATTACTTCTCGGTAGGTTAACACTCTTCATATGTAATCTCAACAAAAAACTCACGGAAAGACGTGTTGTAAAGGTAAGTCCAATCCCTTTCAAAGAAAATAAACTTTATTTTTGATGGTGATAGACAGACAATATGTTTAGAAGATCATTCCAGGCTCTAAAGGCAGAATCAAGGTCGAGCACCTGCACCTCTCTGTAGACACGTGCTAGTTTCTGCATTCATCTCACAGTGTGGGAATGGATATGCTCCCAGTGGCACCAAACAGACTTTATAGGCTAAGCATTGCCATATCAGTGTATAACCCTCTAGTACTTCATTTTGCAAGTTACTTACCTGGCCTGTTCCTAAATGAGTCTCTGCCTGCTAACTACATTTACTCATTACTTTGAATCCTTTTGATGACCTATGACACTAACAACACCCACTGGCACCGTCTGTTATCCTTACAATCTCTCTCTTTCTGTCCAAGGGTGTATGGATTGGAGCAGTAAGAGGGTCTGCCCTCATCCCCTCAGGCTTCCTACCCAGGGTCTTGACCTAATAGCTTGGCCCAAAAGACACCCAGTCTTAAACTTTCAGGAGGGGAAGCAGAGATTAAAAGATAGTTTGGTTATTAAGACAATTACAGCCTTCTGACCATTAGTATCATATATAATAATATAAAAACCATTTATGAACTAACTCTGATGTTTGAGCCACTGGTATTCTGGAAATCCGAAGCTTCCAATATGTAGAAAGTTTGAAATAAATACTCATTTGTTACATAAAATATTTTATTACATTCTTTCTTTAACATTTAGACAGTGAAGTCTGTGATATAAAACCTTATACAAATATAGTGGTGTATTCCATTATAAGTGTTGAAAAAAATAACTTTTTTTTTACTCCAAACAGGAATGTAGTAGGGTTATTTACTTTGTGTAAAGAATGTGCTAGTACATTGAGGCTATCTCGGTTTCAAAAACCCTGTCCATGGTGTATTAGTGCTTGAGATCCTTAGTTCAGTTACCACCAGAGACACTATCCTAATGGGATTTGTATCTTCTTTTTTGGTGGGGTTTCCATCCAGGTGCTCTGTTGCCCTCCCACAATAAATGAAAACCCATACCAAAAATATGTTCATGACTGCTTCTGTGATACTTATCTTTGTTGACACTGTAAAGTTTACAATTCTGTAATTAAACCTTTTTTGGCCATCACTTAATTTGCAGCAAATTTTTTTGTAACATGTTGCATATGCGGTGACTGCCAAAAAGAGTAACAATAAGTAACATTAGATAAAAATTGTCCATGTAATAATTGCTTTGTGTGCATCCCATTAGATATATTGCAAACTGTTAAACAGTTCCCCCCTATGTTGTGAATACTATTAGGTCAGAAGCACACAGGGCGTAAAATATGACACTTTTATGAGTGTCTGTCATTTTTTTTCTCCCTCTAAACGCCTATGTGTCCATGCAAACATAGGCGCTTACAGGAATATTAGAAGAGGAGCGTTTAGAGACAGAAAAAAAAAAAGCACCACCAGTGCGTTCAGGAAAGAAGTATTTAGACAGTTAAAATACAGAACACGCAAAACGCGGGGACTTGTTTATGCACATTTGCCCATTAACTACTTGTCTTCCTGACCAGGCAATTTTTTGCGTTACGGAGCTGTGTTACTTTAACTGACAATTGCACGGTCATGCAACGCTGCACCCAAATTAAATTTACGTGCTTCTTTTCCCACAGATTGGGCTTTATTTCGGTGGTATTTTATCACCTGTGCGTTTGTATTTTGTGCACTATAAAAAAAAAAGACCGACAATTTAGATTAAAAAAAAAACAATTTTTGACTTCTTGCTATTAAACATATCAAGTAAACAAATTTTAAAAATCAAATTTCGTCATAAATTTAGGCCAAAATGTATTCTGCTACATGTCCTTGCAAAGAAAAAAAAAAAATCCCAATACGTGTAAATTAATTGGTTTACGTGAAAGTTATAGCATTTACAAATGGCAGTATATATAGTGGGATTTTTTTTTTATTTTTACTAGTAATGGTGGCGATCAGCGACTTATAGCGGTGGGCATTCTGACACTGGAACTGACATACCCAGTGACACCAATACAGTGATCAGTGCTAAAAAAAAAAGAACTCACACTGTAATGGCACTGGGCAGGAAGGGGTTAATATGAGCGGCAATCAAAGTGTTACCTGTGTGCTGTTTTACTAAGTGCTGTGTCCGTGTGCTTCATTGTAAGCACACTGCTTCTGCATGGCTGTGCTCTGCACAGCCATCCAAATCAGTGTGCAGGAGCTTGGCAATCACCGGGCGCCAGTGAGTAATCACTGACCAGGACCCGCGAATGGTGGCGCGGCTGCGGGATACAAAATCAGTTATATAAACATGATTTTGTGCACCTGTGCCATCCTGTAGCAGTATATCTGCTATATGGCGGTCGGGAAGCAGTTAATGAATTCTAATAGCTAGAATAAATTATTATTCTGTCCAAAAGAATGCATGAACGCACATAAATGTGTGTGCAATACGCAAATTTTACCAATATTTTTAAGCAACTTTTCTCCTACCAGGAGAAAAGACATTCAGAAGGAGCAAATGCTCAGTGTGAATGAGGCCTTAGTGATTAATTTCCTATTTCCATACCTCTGTGGCAGTGTTTAGAGCACCAGTATAAACAGAAGAACATAGGCAAGGATTTAAAGATAAAGAAGCTGCACACTCAGTAAGTGATCAAATCAGTTGATAAAAGAGCTTAAAAAAACTGAAGGTTTAATATCCTTTTAAATCTAGGGGGTTGTAGAAGACGTTTTGTTACTTATCTGATTGCCTGATGGCTGCGAAGCCCTCCTCTTCTACCCAAAACTCAGATCTATTGATAGAGTCTCATCATCACCACATACAGTGCAGGGCTATCAACCCTGTATTGTACATGGCGGAGGCATGAGTGTAACCAAGACTAGAGTAACTTATGGGAGGCTGTGGGGGAGAGTGGTTGCACAAATTGAGGGAGCCTGCTGGAGCAAGGAAAAAGGTAAGTAATATAGCCTATTCCTCAATACCATAGACCTTGCAGCATGTGCAAGGGTTCTTTTTTTTTTTTTTTTGTTCCTGGGGTTGGATTTTAACTGTTTGCTGAGCGTATGTAAATAGATAAATTTTAGCCTGGCAACATTTCTACTTTAAACTGGTCATGGACTGCTAAATCTTTTGTCAGTTACAGTAAAGGTATTCCAGTAATAGTTGTGGAAGCCATGATCTAGTTCTGATTTGAGTGTTTACCTTTCTGAATGCTTTGTTTTTAAATAAATGCATACATTTTCCACCATCTGCCTAGATTTCTGTGACTGATTTTGGCAACTTTCATTGCTTGCTAGATCTAACTATCCGTCAGGCATAACTCAAATATTTGTTAGTTATCTAAAGAAGGTTTTATATCCATGCCAATGTTTGTGAAAATTCCATAGCTGAAATTATGGCCACTGTTAGTATTCTGAATGCTGTGACTTATGCACAGTATATGTATGTTTTTTCAACTGTTAGTGCTTTTACTGGTAGTGGACATTATTTGTTTTCCTTTTATTTAAAATAAAAATCTTAAAAAAAAAAATTGTAGGTAGGGCTACACATTTGTAAGAACAAGTCCTCTGTTACGTAAATATAAAGTTGTGCACCATGGGGCATGAGCACTTGTCAGCTTGTCTTACTTTTCTCCAGGACCCGTAACACCTAGTATTTCCTACAGCTTGCCAGTGAAGAATCTGATTTCTGAAAATAAAACGTAGAAAGATTGGTCATTATCATTTTCTTCAATTACAAATATATAATAACAAAATGATAAAAATGTCCTAACCATCCCTTTTCTTTTTTATTCCCGACAATAGAAAAATCAAAGGAATTGGGTGGATGGAATTGCTTATAGGTTCCACATTCATGTCAACTTAGTAATATATCATTATGTATTTTGCTCTTGTATACATATTGGTGGTTCATAACCACAATGAGCACCAGATTTGAGTGTAATATTTTTTGGTACAGTAAGTTAGTCAGTATGTATTACACCTTTAAGATGCTGCTGCAGATTGACCACAGGCACCAAGAACGGCAAGGGCTGTAGCACTTCCTCTTCTTTTTTTAAACATCATAATTATAGATTATATATAAAGACTACTATGTATTGGCCAGTCAATATGCATTAACTAAGCAATAACCAAATTTACAAATTTGAGTTGTTCAAAAAAGCTAATTTTTTCTAATAATTTCAAGATATTATTATTTAATTTACATAATTGTCTTTAGGGTTGATATGAGAGCCTTACATATTTTTGTTATTCATTGATTATTGCTACTTCCCAGATTAAGGGGAAATGTACTCACTCATTGGCGTCACTGCCATCACCATAGCATCGATGATTTCTAATATTCATTGCAGGGTGCTGGCAAGCAACACATACTGTGTACCCTTCCCGCAGGTAGAGCATCCAACGGGCATGTGGACGGTCCTCTGTTAGACAAGCTGGAGATAAGGATTCAATCTGGAACTCCACACAATATCTGTTGGCAATAATTGGAAGAGTAACATTTACCACATGTAAACCATGTAAGACAGTCACACAGAGCTAAAAATGGCCTAGTCTTAGATAGATATATAACTAAGTACATTTTGGAACCACAACACCTGTTGAAGGGTTATTCTTTAATTCTGTTTTTCAACCTTGCTTTCAAAGCACCCTTTTAAATTCTTCATGATCACGAGGCACCCCATTGTAAAATGTAAAAAACTAAACCATAAACACTCCACAGCGCAAAAAAATATATTAAATGTGTAAAAAGTCCAAACAAAAATCCCAAAAATCTTTAAGAATGTGCTCCAATCCCAGAAATAGTGCTCAAACTATTGTTGGCTCAGCAAACCAACATGCTCTCCACTCAGCGGATGTGACGTCACCACGGATCCACCGGAACCGGAAATACGTCTTTCCGGTTCCTATGGATGTGTGGTGACGTCATTTCCGGTGAGTGGAGCGCATGTTGGTTTGCGGTGCTGTGGAGTGACTTCCTGCCTTCATTAAGGGGAGATTGTAAACTTGTATTACCTACTGCTAGTCCACTTTTTCAAAGGAGCATTTCATATGGATTTGAGCCTATTATGAGCCTTTTCAAGCGTGAATATAATGTTTATCATGTGAGTGCATTAAGGGCAGCATTTTTTAGAATAAAGAGTTTTATACAGTAGTGCACTATTTGTGGTCTTTATTTGTTTTTCATTGCCATCTAATCATGGGAATCATTTTTGGAGGATATCAAGTGCAGATGTATCTGGGGAGGATATACCCAGTCTTTATAGCTTGTTTGACTTTTTAGCCATATCAGCAAAGAGTTCACTCCATCTGGTGAGTGGGGATTGGATCATTAATCACGGATGGTGTGAGCAAACTTTTTTTGAAGAATTTGTTGAATTTGTTTTTACACATTTAATATATTCTTTGCGCTGTGGAGTGTTTATATTTATATTTGATTATTTTTTTCCTTTCATGAGCAGCAGCATTTAGGTTTGGATTATATTATATATTTTTTCTTTCTTTGGCGCAGATTTATTTTATTTTAAAAAACTAAACTAATAGTTTTACATAATTCAGTGGCATTCATGGATGCAGTACACCAAAAGTTAGAAGTGATTTATTCTTCCAAAACCAATACACCTTTGCACATACTAGTACTGACTAGTATTCAAGCGTTTCTCTTCTCCCTCAGCTTCTCTCTCTCACTCAGCTAATGTGACCCCAGTGCTGATGGAGAGGGGCAAACAAGGATGCTGTGCAGGTGCCGAACATGCCCCTTATCAACTGATGATGTCACTGGTTGTTAGGATGCCGGTGGCTAGAAGGTTGCAATGGTGTACCATGAAAACCTTTTAACTAAAAGGCAGGCTGCATCCATTTGCGGGCTTGTTTACTTTTTATGTGCAATTTTTAGGCATTTTGCCAAGGCATCCCTGAGGAAACCTGAAGGCACCCTAGGGTGCCTGGGTACCCTGGTTGAAAAGGCTGCCTTAATTTGTGAAGCTTTCAAATATCCATCCTAAAAGTAAGTTCCAAAAACTGTTGGTATTTCTTCTATAAATTCACCCCATTGGGCAATATCCTGTATCAGTGTCATGGGAATCATCACAGGGGGCTTTTGTTCCTTGCCAACCAGAAATAAGTGCTGAATTACAATTTCATTGCCTCTCTGTCCACTTATCATCTCAATACTTATTTTTTATTTATTCATTCAAACACAATGCCAGCTTCTCTAGTATCTGAGTGTCAATCTACAAACAGAAAGTCAGAGTTGGTCCATTTATGATAACATCAGATGCCTAAAGACTTCTGGGATTGGCCCCTGCACCTACTGTACACCCATAACTCTCCTGGTGTTCCCATGTAATTTTTCACAGTATTTGATTAAATGAATACCCAGGATCTTCTGTATGGGAAGCCCAGTCTGGAGACAATGCACGCTTTCTTCTGGCACTGTTGTACTCAAAAGTTGTGATAAAAGCAGGCACTGGAAATAAAGAAACATATGTGTTATCAACATAGGTCAACATAAAACTGAAAGTGGATCACAAGTACACATGCTGTACTCTGACAGTGTCGCACAAGAGCTTTATACCAATGATTTCTATGTAATTTGAGAATCATGTTGTCATGTCATGTTGTCATGTCGTCAATCACCTGACTAAGGAAGCCAATGTGAAATACATGGACTCTGTTACAGAGTCAATAAATATTTGGGTTACACTACCCTTGTGTTATATATACTGAAAGAGTATATATAAGAGAAAATGTACTTGTCAATTTAACCAATATTTTTTTGTGTATTAATTGCTTCATGGTCTTTTGCCTACATACTTTGTGCTAAAAGAAATCCCTCTATCATATCACCGAAAGTGAGGAACTAAGCCCTTATAGGCTAATGCAAATGCTGCAAAAAACAAAGACGTAATGGCCCTTAATCTCAATGTCGAAATTACAATATGTAATTTTGCTACCTTCTACTCTCAAACATGTCACCTAATACAGAGCATATCTGAATGCTGTTATTCCTTTCTTTACATTTTATACCGGTGTGCTGGTCCTTATGTTGTATCTGGAAATCGAAATTGAAATGTACTTAATTTTGTGGAGTTCATATAGTCTCTGATAACTGTATACATATTTTCTTCACGGTATACCTATGTCTTAATTGTGAGCCTTTAGAGTAAACCATTTGGATTTTATTATTCTGTATCATACCATGTATATATGTCCACACTCAATGCCTTGTTGTGTGAAATACTCAAGACACCCAGCCTTCTCCTCCAGATATGGACAGGGCTCTCCGCCATTCTCTGGCTCCCGTAGAACTTCACGCCTGCGCACTCTGTATGTTGGGGTACACTGATTTGCACAGCCACTCCAATGGCTCCATTCACCAACAACGCATGAAAGAGCTGGTAAAGTAAGCACAAATATTACACCAAAGCTGCATATGTTATTCTCATTTATGCAAATATCAGAATGTACTACACTGGGCATAGTTTTAATTTTTTTTACCTCTTACCTTTGTATACTACCCAGGTAAGTTTAGAATTGATTGAAAACGTGTTTTTTGTTTGTCGGGTGGATTTGTTCAATGCAAAATCATTCAGCTGTATTTTCTGTGTCTGGTATTTTCATGTGCATGAGGTGCCAATAAGGTCAGTTTACTTAATGATACCTACAGTCTATATGCAGTAAAGCATGCTTGCTATACTCACTGTGGAACCTAAGAGGGTAATCCTCTGCATTGTGTAAAAAGGATGTTTGATCCTGTGTTCTCTTATCCTCCCCTTCTTCTACTATCCCCAATCCATCTGCTGAAAGAACAGCCTTGGGGGCAAGCTGCATACGTTCAGTTAGGTGTGTATTGAAGAATGTGTTTGTTTTTTTTCTTGGGAGAGTGCATGTGATCAGCACAGGGCCAATCAGCACTGTCCAGATAGAGGGTCAGGGGTCCTGCAGCCTCTTAGAACAATGACAGAAATTCCTCCTACAAGCAATAACAGTGCTCTGCTAGACACTGATGAGAAAAAGTATTTAGCAGTATATATTTACTAAAACAATTCCATTCCACATGTCTGTGTATTGTGGGAGACCAGATACATTGAATTCAGGGTCCTGGGTTTAGTAACACTTTAAGTGTTGAGATGAGACAAACTGCCCTGAGATGAGCCAAACGCATCCACATGCTGAACCGCAATAATAAATGGAGGCTGAATCTGTCAAATTAGCCACTTGACCGCTTTATTATACAGTGTTTATATAGCGCCAAAAGGTTTGCTCAACGCTGAACATTAAAGTGGGGGGACAGTACATGAGACAATACAGTAACAATACAATACATGAGGGGTACGAGATGTACTGCTACAGGGCGGCTGCGCTGTACAAAATCACAAAATCACATAAATATACCTGATTTTGCATTTCTGGGTAGTGGGTTCGCGCGCTACAATTGGTTCCTGAAGCTGTCAATCACCGGGTCCCGGCCGGCGAATCCTGGCTCAGTGATCGTCAGAGAAGCTGAGAGGGGAGAGATCTGTGTGTAAACAACACAGATCTCTCTCCTGTCAGCATGGACATGCTGCTTTCCTGCTCTCTGAACAGCAGAGCGATAGAAAGCAGCAGGTCTCTCTAGCAAAACAGCACACTGTTAACCCTTTGATCTCTCACAAGACCTCCTTCTCTCTAGTTCCCTGGTCTCCTCCTCCCATGCCCGCCTCCAGGACTTCTCCAGGGTGTTACCCATCCTCTGGAACTCCCTGCCCCAACCCATCAGATTATCACCTACTCTCCTCTCCTTTAGGCGCACCCTGAAAACCCATCTCTTCAGGGAAGCCTACCCCACCCCCTGCTAACTTGCCGACCTCCTCCACTCTTCCTACCACTCCATCCCCCACAGCTATCTCCTCCTGTGCCACCATCCCCTCCCTCCTAGATTGTAAACTCAAAAGAGCAGGGCCCTCAATCCCCTCATGTTTTGCATTGTATTGGTATTGTTCTGTCACATGTTCTGTCCCCCTCTGTAATGTACAGTGCTGAGCGAACTATTGGCGCTTTATAAATACCGTATAATATATATATAATAATAATCTCCCCAGATGTTAACCCCTTCCTGCCCAGTGTCATTAGCACTGATTACTGTATTAGTGTCTCTGGAGATGTCAGTGGCAGTTAGTCAGTTCCCACCCAGTGTCAGAATGCCTGCCGCCCCTCTATAAGTTTCTGATTGCCGCAATAACTAGTATAAAAAAAAACAAAAATTACAGTATATATCCCGCCATTTGTAGATGCTATAATTTTCACATAAACCACATTATATACACTTATTGGGTTTTTGTTTTTAGCAAAGTCATGTAGCAAAATACATTTTGGCTTACATTTATGAAGAAATATTTTATTTTTTCTATTGGATATGTTTTATAGCAAAAAGTCAAAAATATATATTTTTTTTCTAAATTGTCAACATTTTTTAGTTCATAGCGCAAAAAAATTAAAAATGCAGAAGTAATGAAATACCACCAAAATAAAGCTCTATTTGTGGGAAAAAAATGACACAAAAATCATTTATGTACAGTGTTGCATGAGCGCACAATTGTCAGTTAAAGTATTGCAAAAAATTGCCTGGTTATGAAGGGGAGTAAATCTTCCGGAGGGCAAGTGGTTAAAAACATGCCTGGGTGTGTATATCTGTGATGAACAGAAAGTGCTGAAATCGCTGACATTTGCAAAGGAAAAAAAGTGTGGTTTCTACATCCAAACTACTTGAGCTCCCAACTTGGGGCATAAATACTGTATATCGATGCATAAATTGAGAGCAGGCATGCTTTAGAACACCCTTTCTCAACCTTTTTAATGTGGAGGAACCCTAAAACAACCTCTGGAAGAACCCTTGGAATTCTAGTCGAGAAAGATTGCTTTAGATGAAGCAAAAAGTATATGCAAAGAAAGATATCTGCTGTATACTTGACAGTCTAAACAAAGAAACTGCTCCTCTAAATGCTGTTTTTCTACTTTCACAGAATCACTGTGCTTTAAAAACCTATAAACTAAAAAAAAAAAAAAAAAAAAAAATACAGTTTTTCTTTAAGAGTATGTAGCATGTATAGGAGAATTCCTGCAGCAGCAAGCTTATCCTGAGGGCTCATGAACACAGGGCTTACAAACGCCACTTTTACAGGCATTTGGAATGTTTTTCAGCCTATAAAAGCACCTTAATGTTAGCCTATGGGGTTGATCTACTAAAACTAGAGTGCAAAATCTGGTGCAGCTGTGCATGGTAGCCAATCAGCTTCTAACTTCAGCTTGTTCAATTAAGCTTTGAAAAAAAAAGAAAGCCGATTGGTTTCGCTGCAAAGCTGCACCGGATTTTGTATGCTCCAGTTTTAGTAAATCAACAGCTATGTGCTCATGCACAAATAGGCATTTACAGGCATATAAGCAGAGAAGCCTTTACAGGCTGAAAATAACCCCACCTAAGGCGCATTCAGGAGAGGAGCTGAATAGCAGAAAAAACCGCTAGACACATCTAAATGCATGTGTAGTACATGGCATTAACTGCGATTTTCAATCAGCTTTTCCCCTGCCAGGAGGAAAGGTGTTCACAAGGGCTAAACAGATGCCGTGTGTGCATGAGACCTAATTTGCTGCTGATTTCTACTTGTGTATAACCACAGCATAAAAATATGCAGACCACATACAACGTCTGCAAACTGATGTCTTTTGTTTTGTTTGGGGAAATAGGAGATTTTGGATGAAGAAATTGACACTTTATGCTTCTCTTAGATTGTAAGCTCCAAGGAGCAGGGCCCTCCTATCCCTCTTATATTGAACTGTATTGTTGCTGAATTGTCGCCCTATATATTGTAAAGCGCTGAGCAAACTGTTGGCGCTATATAAATCCTGTCTAATAATAATGCTTCCAAACCCCAAGGTGGCCTCCCCAACTTACAAGCCTACTGCCAAGCGGCCCAAGTTGCCCAACTAGCATATGTTAAGGCCAAAGTGTCTACTCCTCTCTGGGTTTCTATTGAAGCTGTCTCTTGCTGTTCTTTGGCCATTGGCTCATTGCCGTGGCTTCCTACTTGTCTATGTCCTCCTATCTTGTATCCTACACTATCACATTCCTTGGCCATCTGGGATGGAGTGTGTCATAGGACTCATCTGTCCTAACCGCACACACCATTAGCACCTATCTTTTGCAGTCCTGAGTTTCCCCCAGGTTTGATACCTACTACATTTAACTGGTGGATTAATAAGGGATTCCTTGGTATAAGTGATTAATTGAATGGGGACCAGCTATATTCCTTGATGCATTTTAGGCATAACTTACAGATTACCTTTAGCAAAACCTTTCAGTATATCCAAATCGCTTCATTTATTAGATCGAAACTTAAATTACTGACTAGCCTCCTCAAGTTGTCTCCATTTGAATTATCCTCTCTATTGTGGGATGCTTCAACGGGCAGGGTGTCCGCGGTGTATGTATCTATAACTGAACTGACATCTAAACTCCCTTATATGACACTATGGGAAAGGGAATTGAACATCACCTTTGATTTATCTGAATGGCAAGATATAGCCTATGCTCTGTTTAAATATCGATTAACACTGCGTTAATAGAATCTAACTATAAAACGTTCCTACGTTAGTACCTGGTCCCCACATGTGTCGCGAAAAGGCATCCGGCCGTTTCACCCCAATGTTTTCTACGCTGTGGACAACTGGGAATGATGTACCATTTCTTGTGGCAGTGCCCTATGGTCACTAGATTTTGGATTTGAATGTTCTGCGGATATTTACTCCCATCAATGAGTAAATAAAGTTGATCTCCGAAACCAGCACTATTTCAGAAATTTACGGATGTGGTCCCTAAAACGTCGATGAAGTTGATCTCATATATGTTTTTGGCAGCAAGAAATACTGTAGTCAAATATTGGAAGATTACTTATCGTGGTTTTTATTAGTGAAGGTTTATATTTATATTTTAATGATGTATGATTGACTTTCACATTTACACCTTTGTATTCTTCTAATAAAAAATATTGAAATAAAAAATATGCAGACCATATTTGAAGCTTAATGTGCCACTCCAAAGCCAGATAAGCAGAAAGGATTACCCCACTGGCATGGGAATGTAGGGAGCAGCATCCTTAGTCTGTTCCAGTGTCTGGGATGAGAATAAGGGGAAGCGGACGCCACTCAAGACCAGCCCCGGGAGTCCAGCGTGTTGTATGTGTTGAGTGACCTCAGCACCGCGCTAGCCATTCTCTCTGATACGTTTCAACCCGCCCATTGGGGCTTGGTCACTTGGTCGCCTCTTTGACCAAGCCCTGATGGGCGAGGCAAAATGCATCAATAGGAATGGCTAGCGTGGTGCTGAGTCCACTCAACACATACAACGCGCTGGACTTCC